CATATGTATGCGATAAGGTTTTAGTAAATATTGTTTAAAGTCATAAGGAGTTATGTGCCTTTGACTAATATGATGTAAGTTGATTAAATATACAATTACTACTTCGGTAGTGATAATGTCACTTTTTTCTAGTAAATTGTAAGTTGGGTCAATTCGCGCGGCAAGATTTTTTTTTTTTGAGTTGTGCTGAGTTGCCGAGAGAGAGTGGCTGTTGTTGAGTCAGTGTGCTGGCACGCGTAGAGTTTGTTGGCATCTCTCAAAGACTCAGTTCTGACATAAATACAATTATGGCAAAAGGCCGATGAAGGGGGGGTTGAGGCTGGTCTTCACTAACTATCTTATACCTAGCTAATCTGATTCACGACCCATTCACTCATTACAATTTGCCCATTCACCACAAAAAACTTGTCTATCACCAATCAATCCTCCATACACCATAATGCTGCATCCTCACAAGGGGGGACCTACAAAAAAACGCGCCCCATGCCATAAAAATTTAATGATAATAAATACTTAAAAATCTGTGATGAAAAATGAGCTGGGAGGACAAAACGAACCCCAAAACTAAATAAATAAATATAAACACAAAATAAACTAAACATAATCTCTCACTAAGGGTGATCATAACAAAAGATGTAGCTGGGAACAGGCTAGGAACAACATTTACTCACATTAACTAGGTACACAAAAGCTTGTCTAACCTAACCAGGGGGAGGGCTCCACAGGAAACCACCCCGATATGACATAGGTTGACCTAAAAGAGAAAATCAAGGCAAGCCCCGTTCAAACGAACCAAGCTCGCCTCAGTCACCCACCTTTCGCTGAAGACTGTCGAATGCAAGCATTTTCCATCAGTTCTAATCTTCATCTTGAGCTGATGCTCAAAGAATTGGATCAGATCCTGATGAGAAGAAAGACGGGCGCCTTGCAAGACTTCCTCCTGTCGCACCATCCAAATCACCAGCAGCGTCCGTTTCACCCCGGAACACGAGGGCGACACACTGTCACACATCCATGCGCAATCAATGGGCACGAGCCCCATTTCGGGGGCGGGACGAGCTGGCAACTCGCAGACATGGACCCACAGGGGCGGACCCGGGTACAATGGTAGAAGTAGAAAAGCATAAAAAGAAACCGTTTTGGTAATAAAAGAATAACTCGTTTTTTGAAGACTAAGAGTTAAATGTTGAGTCTGTTACTCACTAAAGCTAATTTTTTTTTTTATCAAAGTTTTTAAAAACTTTAGTTAGAAGAAGACTCGGAAAAATGACTGCAGCTTAATTTTCGGAAAAAATTTCATATTTACCTGCATGCTTAATTTGAAAATAACAAACAAAAATTTTGCTAAAATCTACCATTTTGGAGTTATCAACAATAAAACCTCGGACTCATTCACGTCCGCCATTACTGCAATTTTTTTTTTTTTTTTTACATACTTAACGGCCTTTTTACTAATATGTAGGTAAATGTAATGGCTACCTTGCTGTAGCCGCAACGCGAATGAGTCCGAAATTTTAGTAGACGGTAAACGGTAGAGTTTAGCAAAATTTCTTTGTTATTTTCGAATTAAGCATGTACATTTACATCTTCATGTAACTATTCGGGATATTTTTTATTATGGGGCTTAAATTGAAAAATTACCCCAAAAAAATTTAAAATAGTTTTAAAATGTTTAAAATTTAAAATAAAAACACAAAATATTCATAAAAATTAAATTTTATTAACAATGAATAATTCTTATTAATAAGAATATAAAAAAAAAACATTAAAATAATTATTTTAATTTTGCATAAATAAATTTCGCAATAAAAACAAAAGCGTGCAAAAAAAAAAAAAAAAAAAAATCTTCGGAAAATCTAAAAAATCTCATGGAAGAAGCGAAGCGTTTTTTTTTTAATTTTTATTGATTTGATTTTTTTTCCTAAGAAGAAAATTAATAAACTTTAAATGAAAAATGTCAACCAAACTTAAAAAGAGACCTGTCACGGGCAGTCAGCAGCAGTCAGCAGAGGAGCGCCACGCCTATCAGTGAGAACTACTATGAGAGATCAACCCAGATCGGAAGCCGGCTTATGAACTATACCACATGGTAGCTGTCCCAAACCCACACGTTCCTATTGAAATAAATCACGTAAATCTATTTCGACTGTTGTCGTATTTCTTTCTTGCAACCATACGCTTGTCTATAACAGTAATATCCACCGAAAAAGCTAGATCTTGGAGCCAGTTTTCATCTTTCAATTCATCTGTATTTTGACTCTTCATCTCCAAAAACATAATAATTTTGTGTCGCAATAAAAAAATCTTTTCAGTACCTTGTGACATGAAAATCGCCGAACTTCTGTGTAGAATAGGACATTTGTGAACAAATTATTCACGCCTTCCAATAACTGGCTAAACTGATGGTGATGCAGGGCACGACCTCTGATATAGTTCTCTGTTTTTGTGACAAAACTCAACACATGATCTAATTTTAAAAATTTATAACATAAGATCTGTTGATGAATTATCCAGCGAAAATGCTTGAATATTGAATCTGGATATATGTTTTCTATTTTTGTACCTAACTTAGCAGCAATACCCTTATGTCTCCCAACCATACTGGCAGCACCATCAGTAGATAAACGCACTTTTACTCAAATCAAGACCATACTCATGGAGAAGCTGTTCAACTTATTCAAAAATGTCCTGGCTTGTTGTAGTATCATTCATTGGAACCAGTTCAATTAGTTCTTTATAAATTTGAAATTCATTGTCACAAGCCCTGATGAAAATGGCGAGCTGTGCTATTCCAGTTATATCAACAGTCTCATCTAGAGCAATAGAATGATCAAAACTTGATGATAAAGTCTTCAACTGTCGACTCAGATCACCTGTCATTTTATCAATCCGTTCAGCAACAGTGTTCCTGCTACTCTGGACATACAATTTCAGCTTTTACAAGACATCGCTTTATGAAATCTCCTTCACTCTAAAATTTTCCACTGATGGCGATCATTTTTCAGAGTTCAAAGCTTGCCGTAACAAAATTAACGTTGCCTTTCTGAATTTTTGTAAAGCAACTCTGTTGCTGTGTTAACTTAACTTTGAATTCCTTCACTTTTGAAACATGCATATCTCCATATTTATCATAAGATCGATGGTTTGTTTCATAATGTCTTTTCACATTCTATTCTTTTGGCGTTGCAATGAAGTGGTTGCAAATCAGTTTATTTTCCCATTAACAGTGGTACAAAGTACTGTAATTCCCACTTTTCTTGAAACACACGTCCTTCTTCAGATAATTTTCTCTTTTTACGAGTAGAATTCATTTTTAAGGCAAAATATTACAAAATTACGAAAGTGTTCGCTTTACATTTGTTCTTATTTGGTTGTCAAGGATGATCACATAATTAACCGGAAGTTAAAAATATTCCCTGACATTCAAAAACAAAAACAAAAAAATTAAGATAGAATAAAAATAATCTAATCATACCAATTGAAAAAATCTCACTGTTTTTAATAATTTGCATTACCAAGATAGACAAAATTCTCGATATACCACGGCTATAGAGACATTTGTGAGGGCCACTAATGTTACATTGTTTGGACTGTTGTCCTTATATTTATTGCCACATTCACAACGTTTCGGATGTTGTATGTTCCGTCTTCTTCAAGTGATTGGACACATGGAGCCAGTGACTTAACACAAAGAGTTGTGAGTTCAATACCTGGTTACTGCAGTGGTGAACAAAAACTTGGAGAGTCGAGTTAAAGGGAGATAACTGAGACATCCGGAAAGAGCCATGGCACGTAGAACTAGAACTGTTTAACCCCAGTAGACGAAATAAAAGGTTCAGTTCGAAATTCCAGTTACCTGAAGAGGTTGGAGTGTACAACGGCTGAAACGTAGTGAATATGGCAATAAAAATGAGGACGACATTTCAAACAATGTAAATAACTCTAAATAATTTTTCATAAATTAAATGTACTTACATCTATGCCAGAGATAATTAGATTAAATTAGGATGTAATTCTTAAGATAATGTTTTAAATCACAGTGAGAAAAAGGTTAACAGGTTATTCTTAGAAATAGGTAGTGTAACCCGGATATAAGAGACCCGGATATAAGAGAAACCCGGATATAAGAGAGATTTTCTCTGGTCCCAAATTAGAGCCTGTGTTAATCTATATAAATAGACAAAACCCGGATATAGGAGACTTCTTCTCCGGTCCCGACAACTCTCTTATATCCGGGTTACACTGTAATAAAATCATTTGCTGTTCCAAACAAATTTGCAAGTAATTAATTGCAGATTTCTTTTATGTTTATTGCTCTGTTTCATTTTTTCTTTATCAAATTGCTGTTGATTTTAAAAGTTTTTCTTTTCCAAAAATATATTTTTCATTTTCTATTTAATCTGGAATACTTTTGTTCAGGTTTTGAAACAAATCAGTGATTATATTATATTATAATTGTATCAAGTTGGTGGGAACTTAACTTCATAAATGAGTTTTAAATGATAACTTCTAATCTTTAGAACCATTCTTAATTGCATCACTACTTGAAAAACTGATGATAGGCATTGCAACAGACGAAAAATTTAAATTATGAAGTTATGCCTTTTCAAATCTCACTTTCTTTTATGAACCAAGTCCAAAACAAATGTAAATAAAAATGATAGGCATTGAAAGGTATAAAATCCGTTTTTAAAATATCAAAAATACGTGACGAAAAATTTAAAATTGTTTGGGAAATAATTTCTATAATAAAATAATTAATCTGATATTTCTTATCTATTTATTTGTATGGCGATTATAGTTTACTTGTACTATATTTTCAATATTATCATTAACAACAGTAATTAAATTAACATATTTGAAGATGCATTTTTGTTTCGTAGGAAATGTGTTCTCGTCACATCTAATAAATGCTCCCTTATAGTTTTCGACTGAAACAATAACGCCTCCCAACCGGAAGTGAGACAGCCTTCTCTGAAAAAGCTCTTAACGACGCCAACATGTACGGTGGAAATGCTCCAATTATTGTTCTTAGTAAGTCGGGAATAAATTTCTTTTTAGAAATGGTTTTTAAAACGATTTCTTAATCGATTGTTTCATATTTCATTATGTGTTTTCTTTCTAGACCAGAACACAAAGCGCGAATCAGGCCGCAAGGTTCAATTTGGTAATATCAAGGCCGGCAAGGTAATGAGATTTTTTTTTCTGCTTTCTCTTCTTTCGCGCACATGGCAAAAAGTCGGAGCGAGAAGATTCCAGAACTTTTCTTTAGCTTAAAAAAAAAACAAAAAAAACTATGAATGCTAATTCTCATTTTTTCAATAACATTTATTATTATTTTACTTGTATAATTATCGTCTTTCGTTCTTCAGATTTAAATAAAGAAAACGTTGAAAATAATTAACGTAAAAAAAAAACCGTGAATATTAATTACTTGGCAGTTTACCGGCATTAGTATTTATTTAAAATAAAATTACTTAAAATGAGTAATGTATTTTAAAATATTATCGTTGTCTTGTTTAATTTTATTTCGAATTAAAACGTTTTTCAGTTGAAGTGAGTCTGAGATGGGCGATATTTCTCAATAATTCTGTTCAACAAAAAGGAAATTTTTATTTAAAATTCCTTTGAACAATCATTGAGAAATGTCGCTCATCTCATTGGTGTACTGACTGGTTTTTTTTCTGAAATGATCCATTTTATAATGACATCTCGAAATAATTGATATTTAAGTTTAAATATCAATTATTTCGAGATGACCTTATAAAATGGATTACTTCATAAAAAAGAAACCAGTCAGTAATCCCTTCCAAATGATTTACAGTTAGTGTTTTCCCGAATATATATATATATATATATATATATTTTTTTTTTGTTTAAGCCGTGTAGGCTTAAATAATTTATGGAATAGCTCTTGATATCAAGAAAAAAAATTAATCTGAATATAGTAAATGTTATTTTGGTGAACAAGTCTCATACCTTCCTTAGAAAAATTTAATCTCAAAAGATTAAATAAGGTACATCTGAGATTTTTAACATTATTCAAATTTAAAATAATTTTGATTACTTACTTAAGTTAAAAGTGAAAGTAAGAATTTTCATTTTTTTTTCTTTAGCCAGTTTTTCATTCGTTTAATATTTTAAAATTTAAAATACTTTCTACGTACCCCCCCCCAAAGAATGGGACACCTAGTTCTTAAAAAATGAAAAATCTTGAAGCCATTAATCATTTTAGACTACTTTTAAATGCAACAAATACATTGCTGTATTTCAAATCGAATTTAAATTGATTGGGATGTGTGGTTTTTTTTTTTTTTTTTTTTTTTGTTAATGGTAAAAATCGTCCATACTGACAAATCTGTCAAACCAGCATTTAACTATTAAAAAATCTTAAAATATGCTTTACTGAAACTGAGAAAAATTAACTGATTTAAAATTTTAATTTTTAATTACTTTCACTTTAAAATTTTGTAAAGGTCGATGTTTTTATGAAGTGAAAAAGAAAAACAATTTGGAAATTCTTGCATAAAAAATCAAATAAATGTTGGATTTTAATGAAACTTTCAGGACTTATTTACAAAAGAATAGAATTATTTTGGAAACGTTTCGTTCCTGTTTTTTTGTTTTTTTTTTTGTTACATCCCTCCTCCAATAAAAAAAAAAAAAACCTTATTCAATCTTATGAAAGCACGAGAAATTCTTTAGAGCTTAACGTTTATATTAGTTATGGACAGGTTTTAGAATCCCTCAATTTTCTTTCTTTCTATGCAATTTATAGTAGATAGGTTTGCCTATTGCCTGGTTTAGAGTTTTCTTTGATCTTGTGAACAAGAATAGAGGTTTATCCCTTGTTTCTTTTTTAGGATTGGGTTTCTAGTTTTTCTTAGTCTTTTCCTTTCCTTTCCTTTCACTCACAGCAGGGTTAGTAGCTGTTACACCCATTTAATTAGTTTTATGAAATTTCTATTAGTTAAAACCAGAATTATTGGAGAATGTAAAACATTAATTTTTTTTTTTTTTCCTGCAAACAGTTACATTTTTATCGAAAAACAACTCCAGATCTTAAAATAAAGATCACAATAAACTATGACATTATTTTATTTAGAAATTGCATTTTTAAATAATATAAAGACACTATTGTCTTAAGAAAAATATTTTATTGATTAATAATGGATTTTTACAAGAATTTTTTTTAAAATAAATACTAGACTTTGAATGTATTTAATTTTTAAGAATTACTTTATAGTTAAATAAGCTGGTTCACTTAAAGATTAAAAATACTGTCACTTCTGCCATTCCGTTCGATAAATTGCCCTAACATCAGTTGTCGATACATTGACATAAATGTCAATTCACACCATCAAAACCAGTCTATATTTCTGAGATGAGGTATTCTGTACACATGGCACAGTGGATAAAGATGTTAGTTAGATCCAGTGACAGGGCCCAAAGAGTGAGTTCAATACCTGTTTAAGGCAGTGGAGAACTTGGAGAGGGGAATTAACAGGAGATAATTGATAACTGACATCCATTAAACATGGCACGTGGAACTAGAACAGTCTACCCCAGTGAGCAAAATAAAGGGTTCAGTTCGACATTCCAACCACCTGAAGAAGGCCAGAGTGTACAATGGCTGAAACATTTTGATAAATATGGCAACAAAAATGAGGATAGTCTGAACAATGTAAATAGAGAACTAACTTGTGTTTACAAATACCTAAAAAATGGCTGGCTTTGACAATGTTACTAAAAAAAAATTTGATTCTAAGCCATATAATTTCTGTTTGAAGTACACTGAGTATTTTGCTTACTGGGAATAGTAAATTTTATCATTTAGCGTTCAATTAAAGCTTTAGGAAAGCATTTTCATTTTTAAAAATTAATTTAAACCTTAAGTATCACGACTTTTGCGGAGGTACTTATTTTAAATCTTTTAAAATTCTGTAGGGTTAGGTGATATTGTTAAGCAAAAAATTATATTTACTAATAAATGGAAAAGCTTTCTACAATTAATTTTAAGTTTTTTTTTTTTTTTTTTTTTTTGTCAGCAAAATTACTATAAAATCAATGATGTCTGCCATTTTTGAGAAATTTGTAAATTAAATTCTCTTTAAAAATCTTGTAAAAAATCATTTGTACCTTTTTTAAAAGTTATTTCAGGAAACTTATAAAATTTAAAGTTTATTTTATTTATAAAATTTATTTTATATATATTTTATTTCGAAGCAAACATTACTTGGCAGTGAAAATGTAGTTTAAAGTAAGAGAAAGCATGTCTTAACGGTGACTACTGACAAGTGATGAGTGAATGTTTCATCGATGTATTCACAGCTAACACATGGGGAAAGTTATTGCACAGAAGAATAGAAGTAATGTAATTTTTTTCTAGTTTTTTTTTTTTTTTTTTTCAAGTTGAACCAATTTGTAATTTTTAATAAGTAACAAATATTTTTAGTAGTCTATTTTTTTATTCTTTAGGTACTTCAGCTTTAATGTTATGTTTTAAAGATGCTTTCTGGAAAAATTAAAAATACTATGAAAAAATTTAAAATTTCAAAACTGCTGAGAGTAAGATAAAATTTCGTAGGAGAGGTACTTATAATTTTTATGCACGTCTCATAAAATTTTAGAGTATTTTAATTTTATCTGTTATTTTTAATTTTTATATTACCTAATTCATGAAAAAAATGTCATAACTGGGATAATAAAAAAAAAATAGACCATATAAATTTCATAAGATAGTAGGTACCCTTCTCATATTTGAAATGTTATACATTTTGTTAATGTGTTAATTTTTTCTATTTTTTATTAATATTATGACAGTTTTGAAAATAATTTATTTCACTTAATTACTTTTCTACTTTCAAGTAACTTACTTGAAACTAAAAAAAAAAATAATTGGTGACTCTTGCTATAAAACTGTACAAAATTCATTTTGTATTCATGCTTCTTATGGTCATCCATACGTTTGAAATAAAACCGTTTTTATGCACACAAAAAACAATGTAAAATTCTATTTTTAAATACTAGTAGTTTGCAGATTGTAATAAGCTTTAAAATTTATGATCTGTAAAGATAGATTTACTTAATAAAACAACTGCCTAAAAGGCTCAATTTTGAGAAGTAATTTGAAAATATTTAACAACTTCAATGTGAAATTGAAAAAAAAAAAAAAAATTAATATATTTAAAGAAAACAATTAAAATTAATTTTTCATCAAAAAAAAAATTTGCCACCAGACAATATTGCCCTTAATCATAACGCAAAGAGAAACAAGAATTTTTAATCAAGTTCTTCTAAAAAGGATGGAAAAATTTAATAAAATAATCAGAAATACTTTGATCTTACCTCTTAATAATACCATAATCATTTTGATGATAAAACTTAAGTTTAAAGCCGTTTTTATCATGATATTCTCTCTCTCTCTCTGTTTTTATCATGATATTCTCTCTCTCTCTATATCTATCTCTCTTTTTTTTTTTTTTTTTTTTCTTTTTTGTGTGTGTGGAACCATAGGGTTACCCACTGTTAATGCTTACTATTAACTCTACAAGCTTATGAAATGTTCAAACTTATTGATTAATAAGTTTGAACATTTCATAAGTTTTTAGAGTTAATGGTTAGCATTGATACTATATGACAATTTTATAAGCTATTATGCTAATAAATCTAAAGGTAAGGTTTGTCTGATTTTTATGAAAGAAAATATACACTTAATCCTTCATACTATGCAGTATGTTTATAGCAAGTAAATGTTTTAACTTTAATAACTCATGGTGCCTGGTTTGTAAGAATATCTTTGTCACATTTTGCAATGTCTATTTTAAAGAAATTGGAAACTTTTCTTTTATATATATATATATATATATATATATACACACACACACACACACACACTCTGAAGACAGGAATGGTATGGTTTTGTTAAAGACACTGGAAAATAAATGCAGTATGATATCAGATTAGTCAGTACAAATGCAGATGCATGTGTACCTGTGTTTCAGTAATACAAAATTATTCAGACAGCATAATGATTTATTTAAACTGCTAGGAAAAAGTAATTTACTTGGAAAATATATTACCATAATCCAGATTATATACTGGGTGTGAGCCATCTGCATATTGACAGAAAATGAATTTACTAAGTACAACAAAAATAGGAGGAGACATAATACCTGAATGTGTCA